GAAGAGTATTTATTTACCAACAGACGGTTTAAAAGATCTCCATTCAACATAGTTGGCAATGTTGGGCGTTCATTTTTTTTTTGTGTCCTTGATGCAGATTATATGGAAGAAATGTCTAAAACCATCAGCAAGGAAAAATCGAGCACGAGCAAATGACAAGTCTGTTGAAAGCCCAAACTTCAATAGTTAACTCTACCAATCATGTCATAAGACAGGATACAAAAGATACAAGAGATCTCAGAAATGGTTGAGAAAATAAATAATGACGTGGCTAAGGAATCTTCCCAGTTAACTCACAGCTTTAACCAACCAAAGAATGACGAATATATCTGTAAAAATCAGCGGTCCAAACTCCGAAGTAACGCAGTCGCCAACCCCTGTGGAGTCAATATATTTAATAATCATTCAACTGCCAATTGCAACCTCAACAGGATTATTGCATCTACAGTTTGGAGCCAAATACATCATCAAAATAGATGGATTTTCGCTACTACTGTCGATGTTGAATTTTCTATTGTATGCGGTACGGAGACAAATCATCATCAAAAATGCCGGAATAATGGATATGGAAGAACTATTTTGTCACCATACAAGGACATTTTGAGGCCTCAAATAGCATGTACACTTTTTATGTGAGATTAAAAGACATCCATTCTATAAGCCCACCACAGGAAATAGAAAAGATTTTAATGCGCATGAACACCACTTCTTACAAGGTTCATCTGGAAGGGTTGGATAAAAATCTTTAAATTTAATTCATTAAATTAAAGAGATATATCATCCTTTAAAATAATTGTTCCATCTAAATGTTTGACAATATATTAAATCATTGATTGGCAGGGGAGTTCTGATAGCTGTTCATAACTTCATTGCTTCTGGGCGCATTATAATACGTACTGACAATGATAATGTAATATATATATAGGGTGAGATGGAAACACTGCAACCAACTTCAGACTTCTGTCATCTGTAATCCACTCGTCCGACAGCTCTTAAAATTATTCCAGTGACAACTCATATTATTCATTGTTTACATGCGTACAAAAGCATTTTGGTGAAAATTTTCCAGAAAAAAAGTTATTCGTGATGGAATTCAAGCGTGGATAGCAACATCAGCAGAAATGATAATGTTTCGGCTTGATCGGAACCCGCGTCGCAGTGGCCGAAAAAGGGCTCGTGAGCTGAACATATCGCAATATCCCATTCGGCAAATATTGAAAAATGAGCTCGGGGTAAACCATTGAAATTCCAAAAATTGCAAGAACTTACACCGCAACAGAAAGAAAATAGACTCAGAAGAGCTAAAGAGTTGCTTCGCTTGGCCGAAAGTGGTGAACTGTCGAAATTGTTTGTTTTCTATGAACATTTGTTGAGGTTCCTCGCTTCATTTCCAGCGCACAATGGCCACCAAAATCTCCAGAATCCAATCCGTTGGACTATTGTGTCTGGAGTATTTTGGAAGGCAAGGTTGGCACTAAAAAAATACCAAAGTGTCGGTCACCTCAAGAAAGCGCTTCGCTTTGAATAGGTCAAAATACCGGAGAGCAAAATTCGGACAGCGTGTGGCGATTTCATTGGCCGTTTGAAGGCAACAATTCGTGCCAAAGTTGACCAATTCGAACAAATCTGATGTTATCCTAAAATCTGATGCTATTTCCGACAGTTTTTGCATTCATTCAATAAAATTTAATTTAAAAATGATAATAAAATTAAATTTAATTTTAATTTAAACAAAATTATGGCGTTTAACTTTGTTGCAGTTATTTTTATCTCAACCTGTATATTAAGTATATTCAAACCCTTGTTATTATTATTGTAAAGGACTTTGCAATCCTTTGCCATAGTAATCCGAGGCTGGAAAATCCATATTAAAAATTTTAGGTTCTTAAAATGAATTCTTGAATTTCGGTGTTTTACTGATTTATTGGTCTTAAATTTAACTTTTTGTGTTGTCACTGGATGGAAGTGTTGTCTTTGAAAATTGTTTCAATATATATTCATTTTATTTGTTGAAATTCTCCGCCGCGTTGTATTAGTCACGTCGAAATCATAACCATCATCATTTTGTTTTTTACAAGATTTAAATTAGAATTAAAAATATATATATTTTTAAAAAGTCAATATATTAAGTCAAACTGAAAAATATCATACGATTTATAAAATAAATAAAAAAACTTTGTAGAAAAATACCGCTCAAAGAAAGCTGTTATATGTTGGCTACACGAACACGTGGTCCTGCATACACAATATTTTGTCATAGGCTGTATATTACGAAGTTAGAGTGCGAAGTTGGAAACAATTCCGGTGAAAAAATGTCATCAAAATAGCGAATATCGGGGGATACCGTTGTATAAGGGCCATAATGTTTATAAAGTCAATCAAAATACAGAATATCGAAAAGTATCGTCATACGGGGTCGTATAGACCCGTGGACCAAGGACATGGCAAAATCGTCTTAAAATTTCACACTGATCAAGAATATATATAGGTCTAAAATTATTTTTTCTCTGAGTTACAAAGGGATTGAGAACTGTAATCAGTGACATATTCTAAGATATTTAAACATATTGTGTTTGCAACAGTCTCAAAAATAACATTTGTTTGGGTACTGCAAGTAAACATATGTTTAGATGCAAGTATATATACATGCTTGGATGCAAGTAAATTTATGCTTGGATACAAGTATATATGCTCTTGGATGCAAGTAAATATATATTTGTATGTAAACATACATATACTTCAATACAAACATATATATATGCTTGGATTCAAGTATATATTTGCTTAGATGTAAGTAAAAAAATACTTGCAATAAGGGATATATATGCTCGCATAGAAGTATATTTATAATTAAATGCAAATAAATATATTTTTAGATTTATTTATATACATACGCTAGATATATTGCTATGAATAAGAAAAATCATTTTTAAATGAATTGGTGATATACAAATTTTATTTCATAAAATAAAATAATAATGCATACATATTATAAATTTATGTTTGATATCAATTCATAAATAACACAACAGACCCGCTTTTATTCTAAAAAATAAACGCAAAATAATACTATAGTTTAACTATTTATGGTTTATTATTTACACTTATGTTCTTCGATAGAACCATAGATGTCCGTAATTTTGCAACTGGCTGTTTTGTCCCAAGAGTACGTGCGTGTGTCAGAACTTTGGGTACAATTTCAACTCGTTCTGCTTGTGGATACACGTCCAGAGCTATTAGCTTGATATCGTTGTCTCCTTGTAGCACTGGGTACTTCGAAATATATTCAAATTAACAAATATTTCCACGAATTAACTTGAATTAAAGTCAAAAACAGAAATGCGTCGCATCAACAATAGCAATAGCAAAGCAACCGGCAAGAACTTAATTCCCCTATGGGTGACCTTCTTGTAGAAGAATGCGTCTCAAAAACAAAACACCAAAACACGTGCTTCCTTGTCTGTTACATACATCACACACTCATAGGCAAGCCAAGTTCTGTTTGATTTTGTAATTTGGTGTTGTTGTTGTGACGATTTTTTCTTTCAATTACATGCAAATGCAACAACCTATAATTTTAATAACCTTGCCAGACTCCAACAATCAACTATGTATATCAAACCACTCCAATTTTAACGTTGAACATAAGCAAAAAAGTTATATTTAAAGTTACATTTGAAAACACAACTCACAGCAGCATCAATAAATAACAAAACACAAGTGTTTAGCCGCATTGCAAAACAACGTTTTTCAACCTCTCGTAGTCGCTTTTGCGTCTCCTGCTGCACTATACACGCAGCCCTTTGTAAGGACCTTTTGTTACGCTCTGTCTCACAAAAACTACCTCACACCCGTTAAAAAATATGTTCTAACATAAAAAATATGTTGGAACCCAAACCATTAAAATTTAACTATGTTACAAAATGTTGCAAACCCATATATACTTCGACCCAAGCATAATATGTTTGCATCCAAACATATATTTGTTTGTAAGCAGCCCCAAGTATATATATACATGGATTCAAACATACTTTGACGTGCATTTTTTGCGTGTAGAACTGAGTCGTCTGTGTAACAACCGTTTAAAGTGGGCATTTGCGATAGGAATCCGTCGATCCATGAGTCTCTGGCATGAGGCGGCTACAATTGTTTCAGGTATCCGGTCCATTGATTTTCCCGTTGTTACCAATAAATTTTTTTGATGGTATGTCACGTGGCCTTTATTTATACACTCGTTCGACGCCTTGAGCATTATGGCCACCTTATACCTATTTGAATATCCATTGGCGGTTTATATAAAATTGTATCTAAAGTCGTAGCTGTTTTTGATTGCGTCTAATTGAGTTTTAGAATAGTCAGTGTGTCATCCTTGCATTGAAGACTCAATTTAAACCTATAGCCCTTTTGCACGTTGCCCAGAATCTATAAACTGTATTTGTTTTTTCTTGAATGTAGTCTCTGCAATAAAATTTCCCATCTAGGATCAATCCAGATATTTAACGTTATTGGAAATGTTGATCGTCTTGTTCATCCAGACTTCCTCTCGGTATTCAGTATTTTGATAAATTTGGCCCCATTTTTATACCCTCCACCATACTATGGAGGGTATATTAACTTTGTCATTCCGTTTGTAACTCCTCGAAATACTCATATCAGACCCAACAAAGTATATATATTCTTGATCAGCGTAAAATTCTAAGTCGATTTAGCGATGTCCGTCTGTCTGTCTGTCTGTTGTAATCATGCTATCTTTCGAATGAATTGAGATAGATGGCTAAAATTTTGCACATATGTTTATTTTTTCCAGTAGGCAGGTTAAGTTCGTAAATGGGCCATGTAGGTCCACGTTTTCATATAGCCCCCATATAACGGTACCTCCCCATATTCGATATTTTGATGATTTTAGCGATATTATTCACGGGAATTGTTTCAAATTTGGTATTTGAAGTTCAAAATGGATGCTACACAGTGTTGAATGTTTACAATTAATAACGACTTACCTGCTAGAAAAATAAAAGCGCTGAATGTACCAGTGAGATCTACAGGGTAAACGGTATACAGGTTACTACAAGGTGGTTTTTCCGGTTGTCTTTGTTTAAGTATTCGCTTATCAAGACCAGTTTCAACCGCTCTCCTCATTCTAAAAAAATTAACAAATATTGGCTTTAAAATAATTTAGTATTTTAACGATACATTAATTTAATGCTTTAATGAATGTAGTTGTATCATATAAAAAAATACCAGGGTGACTCCATTTTTTTGATTGAGCTTAAAATTGCTACTTTGTTATTGACACAGGCTAGCAGAATCGGCAGCACAATATGGCAAAATCATCAAAATACCGAATATCGGGAGGTACCATTATATGGGGGCTATACCAAAACGTGGACAGAAAAATCTCATATTCAATACCAACGATCCTAGACACAATACAAATTGCTCTGCTAAATTTTGTCAAATAATATGGCCGGTATAGTGATTTTAACACACGGACAGACAGGCGGACATCGTTAAATCGACATAGAATTTTACGCTGATTATGAATTTATGTACTTTATGGGGTCTACGACCTATATTTAGCGATATTACAAACGGAATGACAAAGTTAATATACCCTCCTTTCCAAGGTGGAGAAATAAAAACAGTTTTATTCCAACTTTTAGTGAAATGGTGCTTTTTTGTATGAACGATGTTACCAGTTTGGATACTTAATGAACGACACTGAAATTTAGTTTGACTATATTGTAATAACAGTACATTTGTTTCAAGTTGTACCATTATTCTAAATTGACAAAAAAAATAATATAATTATTGTTTGTTTTGCAAGACTTATATGGTTTTCTAGAGCACATGGACAATATTTTGATGAGTTTCAAGACCTTTAATAAAATGTTGGTTGATATAAGAACTGTGTGATAAATTGATACTGAGCAGAACAATTATAATATATATTATGTTTTTATACCCTCTAGCATACATAGTATTTTAAGTTGGTCATTTTGTAACTTATCGAATTAATAGTGTAGTATATTAAGTATATTTATCCTTGATCAGCGTAAAATTCTAAGACGATTAAGCCCTGTCCGTCCGTCTGTTGCAATCTCGCTACAGTCAAAATAAATTAAGATAGGTGCTAAAATTTTGTCTGCAGGCAGGCCAAGTTCGAATATGGCCTATGTCGGTCCACGTGTTCGTATAGCCCCCATATAACGGTACTTTTACACGACCATATTTTCGTAAAGCTCCCATATAACGGTGCCTCCAAATATAGAAATTATGGATTTGTATCACTTTCTACCGCAATTGTTTCAAATGTTGTTTTTATATTTCGTAATGGGTACCAAAGCATATAAAAAAATTGCATATGTAGGTATTTGGAATTTGATGACTTTAGACACATTCTTCAATGGAATTGTCTGAAATTCTACATCAGGAGTTCTTTCTTAGTACTTTATCCCCTGAAAGAGACTTTCTATGTATGTCTATGATATCGTGTATCCCCTGAACGGTACATCAGGAGTTCTTTCTTAGTACTTTATCCCCTGAAAGAGACTTTCTATGTATGTCTATGATATCGTGTATCCCCTGAACGAGATATTCGGTGTTTTGATGATTGCACCCAAATTCTTTAACGGAATTCTCTGAAAATCCACACAAGGAGTTCTGTGTGAGTATTTTACCATCTGAAAGGGAATTGTCTGTATAGGTTCATAGGTAAAATTGTTTTGAGAATATAACATTTGGTGAAACCCTGTGCCCATATATCTATTACTCCGACACATATCTTTAATATAATCCATCTCGAAATCTTATCATGCTTTCTACAGCATTTGTAACGAGAATTACAAATGCCTTCATCAAATTTGGGTTAAATTGATTTAGAGTAAGATATACATCCCATATATTAGTTCCTTCCGATTTAAAATTGTAATTACTTTAAAGCCATCGTACGCATTCATAAAAATTTCATAGTTGGTACTTCACATTAATTCCCAATATAAACGTTTATTTGTTACGAGTAGCTCTATTAAATATGCATAGTGGTATTCATTGCGTAAAGTCGACTGATATTTAGTTTTTTATTTGTAGTAGTTATTTATTAGTTATTTATTTATCGACTAATATTTAGTTATTAGATATTAGTAGTAGCCGTTTTACATGATTTAAATACTTATAGTGATGACTTGTTACCTACCACCTTGCCTGAAAATACTCATAATTGCCCACCCGCCCTTTATTTTAAATATCTCTCTATATTTTCTAAACTGAAGAACTAGATGAGTTATATAAAATTTAGGAAAAGTAGTTATAACCATGGAAATTAATCTGTCTTTTATAAAAACTATATAAACATAGAAAGAATTTTTAAAAACGAAGTTATCAGGAATTAATATTGGGTCCACTTCCATTTTTGCCAGAGAAATTGGTTGGTAAAAGTCAATGGGACTGAAAATCACAAAACCCTCAAACAATCGTAGTATAGCTTTATGAATGATATAAGAAATCACTCGCCTAATCTTCTGCCACAGAACACAGCAATTATTACAAACTCTACACACCGAATTTTAAACGATTTTGCTAAAAATATCGATGAAATCATCAGAATACCGAATATCGGGAAGTAGCGTTATGGCGTGGACCAAGATTGCCCATTTACGAACCGCCTACTGACTACTAAATGACGGAATGACAAAGTTAACAAGTAAATAAAGGTCGACTTAATGATGCCATACACTACCATGCATATTTAGTAGGGCTACCCGTAACAAAAAACGTTTATATTGGGAATTTATGTGAATTATGCAAGGACGCTTCTTATATAATAGGAACATATGCCGCCAATTTACAGCAAATTTGGGTTAGAATTGTGAGACCTTACATCTGACGGTACATTTATATGGGCGCTATACCAAAACGTGTATATATAGGGTTGAGCCAAACAAATGATTTGTGGAAAATTGCATCTCTAGCAGACAATAAATACAGAAAGATCTATGCACAAATGCACAAAGGCATAATAGCTTGTATCACAGTGTGGTGTAGGGTATAAAAATGAATCAGTACCTAAGCAAAATTCTTTTTTTTTTCACAAATTGCAAATATCAATATACTAATTTTCCAATAAATGTTATATTCATTTGACAGTAGTTGGCGTTGACCATAAGGGAGCGATAAGCACATTTTTTGGGATTAGAACTTCGATCTAGTTTTGTTGCCAATTTGTGAGAAAATAATGTAGTTACCTATAAAATTCAAATACTAATCTATCAAACATCTATTAAAATCAAATACCGGATATAATTTTTTTCTGGCAATCACTTTGTTAATATTTACTGGCGAACATTCCCTGTTCTTAAAGAAAAAGCTATATGGCTTGACTTTCCAGAATAAATTTTTAAATTCCAACTTTTGGACAACTTGTCATGAATATTTAGTTAATTTTGTATGGCTTATAATGCTAGTTGTGGGCAATCATTTGCAGCAACGATAGCTGTGTCATCCGAGCACGTAGCAAATGTCACACTCAGATTTATCGGTTTATCGGCAGTGTATAACTTGTATAAATTGTCTCAAAAACACCAACTTGTTTAATATCTGATTTGATTTCAGTTAGAGGTGAACGTTCATCTTTATCGGTTCTTTCGCTAAAGCTGACCATAGACGAACGATAAATTCGAGCAATTTGTTGGGTTTGTGGTCGCGTTTTTACGTCTGTGGGGTAGTTCGCGAACAAATCATACGTGTGTGGGCTACTGCGCAAATTTTAAGCCATTTTGCCATTTCAGTTGCTCTTCAACCATTGTAACGAAAGGTCGTGTAGTGCATACAAAAAATGGCAAGCAAAGACTTTATGATAGAATTTTTTGATGTGTTAAAAAATGAAAATGCCATTTGGCAAACAAAAAGTGAAAAATATAAAGACAAATTAGAAAAACAAAAATCATGGGAAAAACTCGTAACAAAATGGAAAGAGGTTGCTTTTTTCTTTCGAGCAGCCGCTCTTCACTCCATTTTCTTTTTCTTTTTTTTTCGATTTTTTTCTTTTCTTGTTTTTTATTTTCCATGTCGAAACATGTATATATAATTAAAAGCGCAGCTGCATCAGCCGCTGCATCGTCGCACATGTTTTTTTAAGTTTCCTATCAACAGAAAAAACCAATTGTTAAATAAAAAATTTTCTGCCACAAAATTCAAACAGAAGCACAAACCGAAGTTCAAACACAAAATGAACATCATCCGCTTCGTAGCATATGCTTACTCTTCAACGTTGGCCGAATTATGATTTGTTCGAGCGTGTGTGGAGAAACGATATGCAATAAATCGCAGCAATAAATTTGCAAATCACACCAACAAATCGTTCGTCTATGGCCAGCTTAAGATAACTTTCAAAAAAGAGGTAATATGGAATAGGAAGTATTTTGTTTTAATTTGTGCAGAAACCCTAAAAGCCACATGCGGTCGAATGCTTGCTGTACGTCAAGAAATACAGTGGAACAAAATTGTCTAGTCATAATATCGAGTTATAAATATTTGTCAAATATACAATAGATCCAAGGTAAACTCGCACACTTAACAAACAACTTTCTTTCATGAATTTTTTATGATTGTTATCAAATTCACTACCGCAAGAAACCTATATTTTTAGTGTATAGGGTACTAGAACTAGCCGTAGAAAAAAGTTTACAATTTCTATTTATTTAAAATAATAATGACATTTATTCTAAAATTCACCAAATTTCTATGCAAAAACTAAACTCGTACAGCTTACATTTATACTGCAACCCTATATCGAGCTGCGTTCAACTTCACGCGATTGTTGGAAAATGTGTTTGGGGAAGTCCCTGAAAGCTAATTTATCAAAAATTTCCACGTGTTGTGTAATTAACTGAAGTTATTATTAAAAAAACGAGGACGTGAAGTGAAAAATTTAGTAAGTAAACATTACAAAAACAATAAATCGCTAGGTGAGATATCTGAGATTGTTAATAGAAGGCGATCTACAGTTCAGTACATCATAAACATGCCAAAAATATGAAGCCTACAGTGAAGCACGGTGGTGGGTCAGTAATTGTGTGGGGTTCATTTTCAGCAACTGGACCTGGTGTTTTGCAATTTTATTGAGCGTATTATGGATCATAC